CAACAGATTGAGCAACACAGGGCTTTGAATATAGTCTTGCTTTTGATGGTAGAACTTTTGTAACTTTCCCACTTGCTTCAAAATATGGGACAATACTTTGATACATATATATTGGGTTGTACCTTTTTCCTTTGGTCTCAGGCACTAGCTCCACAGGCACTGGGAGGCAGCAGTAGCAGCCATGAATTTTAAAGTCCTCCGTCTCTATTATGGAAATCTATATCAAAAGCCTTTAAGTACTCATGTCCTCTGACCCGATCTTTCTATCTTTATGGATCTGGTAAAAAAAAAATTCTCTTACAAATACTTTATATAACACAGTATAGTTATTGAAATGCATTGCTGTAAATATATATTTATCCACATGAAAAGATTCCTGTAATTTACTGTTGAATGGTTAAAGCAATTTACAAAATAATTTGCACAGTGTGAGCCCATTGTTGTCTTAAATATATACATATCAAACAGCTGTCTACATACATATATAAACAAAGGCAAACATAAAAAGGATGATATGTGGTGAGCAACAAAGGTAGATAAGCAGGCAGACTGACTATAAAGCTGTACCTTAAAAACTAGCATCACTAGTGGCACAGTGGTAGCAATCTGTGGGTTTTTTTATTTTATTACATATTTCACTTTAAATTACTTATCTTTTTAGCATAGATTAATTGCACAAAGTGGTTTCATTGTGATATTTACATACACGCATACAACCTTCTTCGATCATATTCACCTTCCCAATACCCTCGCCTTTCTCCTGCCCTCTTCCCGCTGGTTCTCTTCCCAAGACAGTTCCCCTTTTAAAATCATGTCATATCATTATTACATTTTTAGGTCTATATTCTGCAAAAACATGCAAAATTTTGTCTTTCTGAGCTCAGAAAACACTATGACCTCCAGTCCCATCTGTTTTCCTGCAAAGAAATAATTTTCATTCTTCTTTATTGTTGAGTAATATTCCATGACATATGTGTACCATATATTCTTTATCAATTCATTGGCGTTGGGCACCTAGGCTGATTCTACAGCTTGGCTATCGAGACTAGTGCTGTAGTAAACATGGGTGTGTGAGTGTCTCAATTGTATATGTTATTGGGTTACATTCCTTTGAATAGATACTCTGTAGATTATCTCTAATCTTACTTTTCCTTATTTGTAGCTTATCTTTCTACCACAAAATGTATTATTTGTCAATTAAACAATAAAGCTATTTTAAAATTGTTATTATTATTATTATGCAGTGTTGAGGATTGAACCCAGTGCCTCATACATGCTAGGTAAACACTTTACCACTTAAACCATGTTTCCAGTCCTTTCATCCGTATTTTTGTTTGTGAGATACGTTCTCACTAACTTTGTGAGGAGTGGGCTCAAACTAATGACTCTCCGGTTTCTGTCTCTGAATAGCTGGGATTACAGGCCTGTCACTATGCCTGCAAAACTATTTAAAAACTCTTATGACAATCCCATGTGTTTCCATAGCTGGGTCTTATGTTTTATTAGTCAGCAGTGGTTTTTCTCTGTTATCAAGGCATCTACTGATTGAAAATGCATGTAGAAAGGTACCATCTGTGACCCTAAACATGCTGTAATTACCAACAATGACACATACCTGTAAAAAAACAAACCACAAAACCAATCAGCAGGAAAATACACATTCTGAATGTTCTTGCTTCTTTAATAGTATTCTCCAAGAGCATTTAATCACTCATCATTTTCATAGCTATAATCTTGTCTACATTCATGGTGACTGGAAATTGTTTTCCAGTAGAAATTTTAATTACATGGTGATAAATATGTGACTAAAAGTGGTGGCAGGCATGGATGCAGGCCTTGCTCATACGATATGCAGACATCAGTTTTAACCTTCCAGGAAAATGAGTTAGGAAAGAGCTCTATTTAAAATTAACATTTCTAATATTATCCTCATTAGGTTACATTTAGATAGAAGGATCACCAATCAACTTGTATAGCCAGCTGAATAGAAGCTATGTTTCCATGACAACAGACAATGAATGAGAAGGTCTTTTTTTTTTAAGTTAATGGATTTCATGATGATCTTAATTATGATCTATGGAACTATTTATGAAGTTGGTTTTTTTCTCATCTATGGCTCTCCCATGCCAACTGCAGTACTGGCTTTCATGGGGTTGGTCAATGTGGAGAATAGTGCATTTTTGAGAGCTCCCAGTGCCTTTAACACAGGATATTGAAAGAGGGAGTTTAGTGATCGCTCCCTAATTCCTCCTAAGAGCTGAATATGGGAAGAGGCTGATGTAAAAAGACCCTGCGATCACCCTGACCATGGAAAGTGTAGGGTTGGTCAGAGCAGTAGGCACAAGCTTTACCTTGTTCTCTTCTGGAAGCCACAGCAGCAGGTTTGCTCTGAATTGGATGTTATATAAAGAAAAAAGAAATCAGGCTACTTTCTAGATTTCTAATTTAAGCCCCTGGGAAATGATTATGGATCAGCAGTGTGGACAGGACAGTGGGGATAAAGAGTTTTATTTTAGAAATCCCTTTATCATCAAAGAGACTCAAATTGTAATACAGCATGAGTGAACATTTTAGACCCAAATAATGTAGCTTGGTCAAAAAGAGTTATGTCCCGCAGAAAAGGCCCTGGTTTTGCTACCAATGTGAAAATGGGTCTGGGGCCCAGAATATGATCTTATTGCTATTTAGAAGGATCATCTCTCTATGTTGGGGCCTTTTGTACTTGTTCTCAACCTAGTTCTTAGTTTTTATAGTAATCTAAATGTAGATATTTTAGTGTTAACAACTTATATGTTGTAGTATATAAATTTAGAGACTATGCTTGTGGGTCATGAATCGACCGTGCCTTTCAGTATCACCCTACTTTATATGTGCTGTGCATAAGTTTGAGTCACATTATTTTTGTATCAAAGAGAAGACTGTAATTAACCTTGAAATGCCTTTTAAGATCCTTATGTGTCTTCCCCAACTTCAAATTTTTATTAAGATGTCTAATTTGATTTACTTATAAATCAAATAAAAATAGATACCTGTAAGTAAAAATAAAGTCTCAACTTTGACACATGGATAAAGACCACTAAACAGTGTATATTAATATGCACTTTAAAAATCCTATGTTATTTGTTTCAGTGTGGATGTGGATTCAGTGGAAGACATTCAGAATTGTGCTTTAAAGAAGTTACATTGTTCCAAGTCATAGCAATGTTGCTTAGAGGTATAGATTTGGGAAAGAAAACAAAACATTTATCTTACTGAAAAAAGTTTTTTGATATAAAGAGAATTCCTAAAGAAGTCACTTGCCTTCCACTCTGGTAAATTGACCTTTTCTAGCATTTATCCCACATCTAATGAGATTCAGTCAGATTCCCAGGCACTTGCTCCAACGTCCTCCATGTAGATGTTATCACCTCACAATGAACTCAAACTCTTAAATTGTTTGAATATATAGTATTGATGCTTTCTAACCATTATTATAGTTTCTTCCAATGAAAATTCCACCTCACAATGAACTCAAACTCTTAAATTGTTTGAATATATAGTATTGATGCTTTCTAACCATTATTATAGTTTCTTCCAATGAAAATTCCAGTATCAGTGACCAAGGAAAGACCTTGATTCATAGAGGACCAATTCTTCATGTGACACCAGCTTTCTTTGAAGCATTAAGGTGGCACTAGCTCCACGCAGAGCTGATCAGAATTACCAAGGTATAAGTTGCATCTCCTAAGATAATTTGTTTCCATGATCTTTGCCATTTTGAGGGTTTTATCTTTGACTCTGTTTTCTCTTCTGAGCTTAGAAAGTTTATGTGCAGGTAAGTGTAGGAAGCTGAAAGGCATCAGCTGGCCATGCTTATCTATGGAAGGAAATGTAGGGCCATTAGAGAGCATGACCTCTTATGAATTTCACCAGAACTGATTTAGGAAGGAATAAGCAACATAGATACTAATGGACTTTTTTGCTATTTTTCTCACAGAAGATATTTTAAAAACTGGAACTGGAACTTGAAAATGAGTAACAATAGAGGCTGCTGAAGGTGTGACTTTTCTATATATTCTATAGCCATCAGCAGGTGCAATGATTATAACTCATCAAGAATTTGAAACATGTCTTGTTTTGGATCATAATTCTAATAGAAGTTCATAAGCTAAAAAGATTGATTAGATGGCTCAATATTCGAGTAAAAATAAATCGTTTAAGATAAAGACATCTTTATAATAGTGAACCTAGCAAAACCTTGGATAACCTTTCATTGGACAAATCAAAGTTCTCCTGAATCATGAAAATACTTTGTGTAACCCTCAGCCAAATTCATATGATGAAGTCCTAACCTCTAGTATCAGAAAGTGATCTTATTTGGCCATAGGGTCCTGACCTAAAGACCCTAAAGACTAAAATGAAGTCACTGGGATGGACCATAATCCAATATGACCAGTATCCTTAGGAAAAGGAGAAATCTGGGCACAATAATATATGCAGAGGGAACATAGTAAGAGGCACAGGGAGAAGACAATCATCTATAAGCCATGCAGAGAAACCTGTAACAAATAATTTTTTCATATACCTCAGAAGGAATCAACACTGCCACCATCTTTATTCCAGACTTCCAGTCTCCATTACTGTGAGATAATGAATGTCTGTTATTTAAGCTACTCAGTCTGTAGTACTTTTTGTTACAGCAGCAAGCTATTACAGTGCCCAGCAAACTCACTGAAGATTAGCGCCATAATACTGACTAGAGCCTCTGTTTTCTTTTTTTTTAACCAGGCTTGTTGGTGTCAGGCTTAGCAACCAGGAAAAAGACAAAACATAAGATCTTAATGTGTTAACCCAATTAACAAGAAGATGAAACAGAACCACAGAGCCGCTGGACTTTGATTACTCTCATGATTTATTAATATTCAGATTGAAAAAGGAGCCTTAGAGCCGCAAGTTACGCTAATTGGCACATTTGCTTTATTTATTTATTTTTAAAACAAACTGGGTTTTTTATTTTTTTTCCTTTTTGTTCATTCCATCACATTGAAAAGGAGGAAACAAAAATGGTTTTGAATTCACTCAATATTTTGGACTCCTCAGATGAACGGAACATTGCACACACACTTGGAACAGAGAGAGATAGAGAGGAAAGTGAACTCCCACAGGGCCACACGCACCAGATCAAAAAACTGGGATACAGTGCAAGAATTTCCCAAAATGATTGGATCATCATTACCAAAAACTCGCCATAACAACACCAAGAAACAAAAATGTTTAAGCCACACTGTTTGACTTGGGATCTTTCCTGCTTTTTTTTTTTTTAAATGTTTGCCACACAGAGAGAAAGAGGGCTAGTGGGTGGGAGAGGACAGACTCACAGACGTGAGCAGGATAGGAAGGGAAACTTCAGAGTGGAATTGAGAGAGGGCAGGAGAGACAGGGTTCAGGAGAGGGGAGGGGACGTGGAAAGCCATTTCTTAAAGTTCAGGCATGTTCTTGGTCAGCCTCGCGTTCTTCTTCTTTACCCTCATCCTGCCGGGCACTTTCCTTAGGTTTGGTTTCATCTACTGCATCTAAGGAAGAAAACAAGACAGAGGGGGAAGGAAAAGTTAGTATTGTGTCTTATCTGTTTGTATAATGGTACAAGCATTTGGTATTTTCATGCCATTATATAAGAGTTTTAAGATAAGGTTATTACTATCCCGATAATCCCAGAAGCGTTTACTCCTGGGCAGCTGTTCATTGGCACATGTAGAAGAGTTATGATGTTAGGGGCATGTTGTAACTCAACAGAAGTTACCGAGGTCTTTAGTCTCTCAGCCCACAATCACGTATCAGTATGTGCAATCACATATGTATCACATAGAGAATGAACAATAATCTTATTTTCCTGTTGCATTAGTGTCAGAATAATTAGGCCAGTTAATTATGTGGATCATTGAGCATCCATTCCAAGTCTTTAATCCTTTATTTCTAGTCATATAAAGATTGGAAAGTGATATACTTGAATTTCCACTTCCTGTTGGAAATAGAAATAGGCACTTAACAGTGCTGGTCTATTAGAGAGAGACAGAATTCCCTAGAGATGGTAGAGTTGGTTTTTGCCCTTTGCCTTCTCCTATTCCCAATGACTGAGACAACAATAATATCTGGTAATATAGCAGCTATGTTTTTAAAGACAAAATTTATACTCTAAATATGGTGGAACAGAAAGAAAAAAAATCACCATTGCATGGTTGGACCACACCTAGATACATTTCCCTTAGATTTCTTACTGGGAAATCAATTACTAACCTTTTTAAAGTACTGTAATAGCTTTTAGTTTATCACAGTGAAGTACATTCCAACTGAATATATTGATCCACGGGGCAAATATTACCTTGCTTAACAAGGAAGACTTTGGATGTTTTAGAAAGATATTTACTACTAGGCTAGATTGTCTAAAGAAAATTAATTTCCCCTAAAATCACCTGTTACCACCTAGTAATATATCCTTCCCTCAAAGACCACCCTAGGTTCAACGATTTCTTAGGAGTACTCACAGGACTCAGAAAGTAGTACTATTCATGACTATAATTTATCATAGTGGGAGTACACAAAGCAAACGAGGAAAAGTTGCATGGGGCAAAGATTGAAGGAATTCTTCCAGCAGTGAATCATTACAACTAGTGTAAGATATGATCTACTGGGGCAGCTCACTTGAGCATACAATTCCAGAGTTCTATTGGGCGGGGGGCTGGTCATATAGGCACCCTTTGCCTAGCATGTAAGAAATCCAGGCTCCCAGAAAGAAAACAGATGTTCTGTACAAGAATTTTAGGCTTGGGGAACCGCTCTTATCAAATTCGGAACTGTGAGAACCCCCTCAAAATCTCGGTTGGCAGGGGCCCGATACAGGCCAATTTTATAAGCAAACCTTTGTAAGGATCAGTCTCAGGCCTACTATGTTAACTTTTTTCTGCATACTTCCTGGTGTTGAAAATATCTGTCCTTTAAAATGAAATTCTTGCTATTACTTTTCCTCCTCTTAACACCTACTAGCTGCTAGTTTTTCTTAGAAAGAGAAACTACAGTTGATGGGATCTTATTAGGTTAGCAAATTTATATTTAATTTGAACATGAGTAGGCTTTGAAATCTCTGGAGCAAAGAAGCAAAGAAGTATAAATGCTTTAGGGAGATTAAACTAGCAATGCTAAATAAAATGGATTTGGTATTGGGAGAAGATGTTGAGATTAGAGGAATGAGATCCATTTAGGAGGCCATTAGAGGAGCTCATAAAAATGTCTCTTTCAAATAACTCAGATATATATTATATATACATGTATATTTTATATGTGTGTGTGTATTCATATAAAGTTAAATATTTATATTCAAATAAGACCACCACTGTTAAACACATTTTTGGAATTTCTTTTTTGGAATACCTATCTAATAACATTCTTTTAAATATCTTCAGTAGGAGAAAGTGTTTATTTTCTTGAAGTGTTTCTAGAATCAAACTGGGCTGAACTGCTAAATAAAGTAAGTATGGTACTTATGATGGGTAATTTTACCTTAAATTGACTCATTTTTAACTAAAATTTTAAAGTCTTATTTAGTTTGTAGGATTCACATCTCACTGTAAGCTGTTTTTGCAGCATGCTGTTAGTGATGCTACCTCTTACTAGTCATAAAGACTTTTTAAAGGTGTAACTTCCCAAGTTGATAATTATTAGCTCTGAAAGAACAGTGCACCAGTGTTCTTGGATGAAAGGTACTCCTTTCTGAAGATCTTTAGATTCTATCAGCGGCGTTCTTCCAGGATTATAGGTCTTTGTTGTGCTAGTAAATCATTTAACTTTCTCACAGAACAGAGCTTCCAGATTTATTTCAGTGAGGTAGTTCTATAACAATCTGCTTTTTTCAGAGAATTTGTATAGTTCCTTGGCCCTGTCCAAACCTTTGGATCCCACAAGTATGCCTGAGGTGGTTTTAATATCCTTATCAACTCCAAAAAACCCAGCATTTTTAGTGTCTTTTTCAAACTACAAAAGATAATATTGATTTAAACTTCCTGAAAACATATGAAAAGATAAGTTTCCTCTACTAAAGTCAAAATTGAGGAAATATAATGCATGATTTGAGAGAGAAATTAGGAATTTCTACATGTCACATATGGATGGATTTATACCTACTCTAGCTAGATTTGCTTTGTTAGGATACTGAATGTGAATTTGGGAAAGGTTTTAATCTCATGCAGAGGAGAGTTTGTTATAAATAGAATCCTAGTTATACATAAATAGGTACACTTGAGCCAGAATGCATGAAAGAACTTCTCCATATTGCTAACTTGCTCCTTCTCCCACTGATGTCAACCCTAGTCAAGCCATTGTAGCAATAAATCATGTTGTCCACAATAGCTGTTACACTTTCAAATATTTCAAGTCTGCACCATCAATGCTTAGAAATAAATTTTGATATTTCTGGACCTTTGTGTAAAGTAACCAGCTAGAGCTAGTATTTCTAAGTTCTTCTGACATGCTCAGAAAAGTTTAAGTATACTTGTATCATTTCATTTCATCTTCACAGCTACCATATTTGCCCTGTTTTGTAGTTAGTTAGGGAAGCTGAGGCAGAAGGAGATTAAATAATTTATCTAAAGTCATACACACTGACAGTAAATGGCAATAAATTCTAATCTAGGACAAAGTCATTCATCCAGACAGCTTCTACTTTTTATTGCTTTCCTTACTCTGACCTTAGCCCAGGAAGGATTGATGTTTTCAGTGTGGGACCTAGGTCAAGGAGGTACCTACATAGGCCTGGAGCCTATAAAGTCTGAAAATTGGTCTTGTTAAAAGCGGCTCAAAATGGTAAGAAGAACACTGATTAGTCTTTCATAGTATGAAATCTGGTCTTGGCCCATTCTGACACTAATTAAATAATTTGTAAATACTACAGATGAGTTAATATGATATGTAATCTTCAGTATTTTGTGCAAAAACTTTGATCATCATGGTGAGTGGCAAAGATAGATGAGTGACTGAGGCCAGCTGGTCACTCCAAATACCATGGTCCAATTAGGGTAAATAACTACATTCTTCATCTAGAGGATCAACCTCCCTCTGTGGCAGTTGTTACTTCAGAAGCTGTAGAAACTAAAAGAATGAAGTGAGATTTTCAGTGCCAAGTGATATTGAATAAAGGAGTAGAAATAATCAGGCCTAAAGCTAACAAATTAGCCTGACCTGAAATTGTTGATATAAAAGCACAAATCTAGCAAGTTGAAGAGTAGAACATTCTTTTATTTTCTTTATTCATTTTTTCATATGTGCATACATTGTTTGGGCCATTTCTTCCCCGTCCCCCATCCCCCACCCCCCGCCGTCCCCTCCTTCTCCCACCCATCCCCCTCGCTTCCAGGCAGAACTTGTTCTGCCCTTTTCTCCAATTTTGTTGAAGAGTGGACCTAAGCAATAATAAGAAAGACATAGCAGTTTTGCTAGTTGAGATAAGGACAGCTATACAGAGAGATTCCTAGCATTGCTTCCATGCACAAGTATATTACAACCCGAACTGATTCATTTCTACCTGACCTCTTCACTACTTCCCGGTCACCTTCCCATAGTGACCTCTGTCATTTGAAGGTTACTGTATTAGCTTCTCTGCAATGGGGACATCAAACACTTTCAAGTTTTGGGTTTCCTACCTATCCCCATTCTTCCCGTATGTGCTCTTCCCTTGGCCTGTGACCTAAGCCCACCAATACTACTGCATTTGCCCTAGTTCTAAAGTCCATATATGAGGGAGAACATATGATTTTTGGTCATCTGAGCCTGGCTAGCCTTGCTCAAGATGATGTTCTCCAGTTCCATCCATTTACTTGTGAATGATAAGATTTTGTTCTTCTTCATGGCTAAGTAAAATTCCATTGTGTATAAATACCACATTTTCTTAATCCATTCATCAGTAGCGGGGCATCTTGGCTGTTTCCTTAACTTGGCTTTTGGGAATAGTGCTGCAATAAACATGGTGTGCAGGTGCCTCCAGAGTAACCTGAGTCGCATTCCTTCGGGTACATCCCTAGGAGAGGGATTGCTGGACCATATGGCAGATCTATGTTTGCTTTTTTAAGAAACCTCCATATTGTTTTCCAGAGTGGTTAGAGCATTCTTTTCCTTATTCAGTTTAGCTCTGAATAGTACATTTACTTATATTAAACATGAAAAAGTCTACTATCAACACTGTTATTTTGGATAAGACATTGCAAGCAAGATGAAGAGAATCACAGTGCTATGGTCTAAATCTTTTGTGTCCCCTCCCCCAAAATTCATATGATGAAATCCCAATCTCCAAAGTCATGAAATTAGGATATGGAGCCTGAGCATGGAGCATCTATGATTGGGATTAGTGTCCTTGTAAGAGAGATCACAGGCAGTTGTCTAGTTGCTTCTACCATGTGAGGACCCTGTGAGAAGGCACATTCATGGAACAACAGGCCCTCAACCCAACAAACTGCATCAGCTGCTACCTTAACTTTGGACTTCCAGATTCCAGAACCATAAACAAATAAATCTCTATTGTTTAAAAGCT